ATATATAAACACATTTCCAGGTGAATTTGACTGAAAAACGTATTAAGTTAAAGGCACATAATGTGTAATTTTTCAAATTTGAAGGACTAAAGCTATTGAAGTTACCGAGATTTGGCGGCCTTTTTCTCGCTAATTTTACCGCTGAAACCAGGTGACCCCACCTCCTTCAATCACAAATGTCTTGACATCTATCTAATAGATGGGTATTTTTTTTCATTAAAAGCAATGGAAATGAATAAGCTTTTAGATGATACCCATAACTTAACATTATGACCAAAAACTGACGAGCATTGTAGACATGAGTACAGCGTAGTTCTGCATTGTAGGGAAGATTTAAAACGAATTAATTTAAAACCATAGAGGTATCTCTCTTGACAAACAAGAATTTTGCTGACTGATGACTGAAACTGTTGCAACTTACGGAAACAGCTTGCGTCAGCTTCCGTGCAAAATTTGACAACTGTTGACCTTTTTGGTAACTGTTTTACGGCACTCCCGGCCGCATAAGGTCATAATATGAGCGTGCGGGACACATTACCATTTTCAGTTGGTAGGATATTTTGAAAGTTGCCCTATTGGCGGCTGAAGCCGAAGCCTTCTGTTATCGATTTTGGACCACCAAGGGATCTTTAACGTGTGCAACTTGCTCACTTGATATCTGAGATTTTTCGCCCTTGTCTGAGACAAGAAGGCTGGGCGTCAGATCTTGCCCCCCTTAAGTGTGGTCAGTTGGTTTATTTCGGGAAAGTAATCGAGTACCTATTTGCTATTGTAGAAGAGAGCAAGGGCAGGGCGAGGCGTGAGCGAGGGACTCACTCAAACATACACACACACACACACACACACTCACATACACATATATACACACACACATACACGTGAGCCACGGACTCACTCAAACACACACACACACTCACACACACACACACATACACGTGAGCCACGGACTCACTCAAACACACACACACACACACATAGAATATACACGTGAGCCACGGACTGTGGAAGACCTCGTGAGCGTGAGTGGCAGTCGAGGGGCAAGAGCATTGTCACTCGTCAGTGCAAGTTGGTTAGCGCACGGTGCTAGATAGGGACAGTAGAGCAGGCGGTCGCGGTAAATGTGAGTTTGTGATTTCTCCGTGGACATCCTGCAGCTGGTGATTGCTACACGAGGTGGGTGTTTATATTTATAGTTTAACTACAATAAGATCAGGGGGTTTTGTATCTTAAAGACAGCAGTAAGAAGGAGCCAAGGAGTAGCAGTACAAAGGCTGCAGAAAGAGTCAGGAGCCCAGAGGAGGTGGGG